GCAAAACCAATTACACAATCTAAAGTCAGAATCAGTCCCTTTTGTCACAAAAGGCCTCTGGCCAGACAATGACATGTTCCAAAATACACAACATATGACAGCGTTGTCAATAATTTCCCCTATTTGGAGGCCATGTTATTATCATGGGAAATGTTGTCCAAAGATGGTCCTCCTTGTCCCCTTCCACTTGCAGTTGGCCGTGAAGATGGTAAGCCTACAGTTGGGCGTGAAGATGGTAAGCCTCTTCCTCCACTTATGCCTCTTCCTCTAATTGCATTTAGCTTTGAAGAAGGGAAACCTACCTCTTGTCACCTGAAAAAGTTTCTGATCTTTATTGTTTTCCAATGACATAAGCAATAAAAAATTGAATTTTTGAGAAAATAAAGCTTACACTTTCTTGTGAATTTGGGTAAATAGGGGCTTGAGCAACATTGCCTCTTCCTATACTTATGCCTCTGCCTCCTTTTCCATTAACTCTTGCCATCTAAAAAAAATAAATGATTTCAGTTCCCTAATGACATTTGCAGTTTAAAACCTCAAGAGCAACCAAAGCTTACACTTTGTTGTGCCATTGGGTAAGCAGTAGCTATTCCTTCACTTACGCCTCTCCCTCTACTTATGCCTCTCCCTCTTACTATGCTAGGTCTTGGTTGTGAAGAAGGTTGTACTGGTTGTGAAGAAGGTTGTACTGGTTGTGAAGAAGAACCTTTCTCCATTTGAGCTGAAGATGCATGAACCTGCAAATGTTAAACAAAATTATTTCAATGAAATAACATAGAACTAAACATAGAACTAAACAAGGTGTCTAACAGTCATACCTGTTGGGTTTCATTGTTTTGTCTGTCACATGTTGCTCTATTATGACCTTTTTGACCGCATCCACAACATCTTATTTTAATGAAAACCCTTCTAAGCTTGGCTGGTGGGGCAATATAATTTGGAGGCCTAGGGTTTGGTGGGATGGGGGTTGGTATTTCAACCTCACCAGGCTCCTTCGTCCTAACTCTTTTAGGCCTACTCGGTTGTTGCTTATAAAGTGGAGATTTAATTGGAGGAAGGCCACATTTACTCCATTGGTCCATTGAAGGGATGGGGTGAATCACTGGTTCATAAGCCTTCATATAAGTCTCGAGCTTATAACAATCATCCACATAAGCAATTGGGTTTTCACATCTTTGAAATATTGCTGAGATTGCATGGGGACATGGTATTCCACATAAATTCCACCTCCTACAAGAGCATGTCTTTGCTCTAAGGTCTACAACAAATTCTCCACCATAAATGTGGCTCACTTGATACAATTTTTCACCATCCAATCTAGGAATGCATTGAAATGAACCTAGCTTGTTCTTCTCAATTATCTTGAAGATCCTAGGCCCAACAGAGTATCTCCAATTCTTACATGCAGACCTCCTACTAGCCATCCTAAGCATCATATACACCCTTATCCTCTCCAAGCAACTCAAAATTGTCTTATCCCTTGCATCTAGTATGGCTGCATTGAAACTTTCACATAGATTATTCAACAAAAGATCACATTTAAAATGTGACTGGAAGTGAGATCTGCTCTAATTTTTTGCAGGTCTCTTCTTTAACCACTTCCAAGCTTCCTCATCCTCATTTTTCATCTTCTCCATTTCTGCCTCCCACCAAGGCACAGTTGTAGCTCTTGCTACAGCCCATAATATATGTTTCAGAGCAAGACCAATATGTGATGCCCTAAAGTTACTGTACAGGTGTCTCACACACATCCTGTGCTCTGCAGTTGGAAGTACTGTCTCTATGGCAGGTACAAGTCCCTTTTGTTTGTCACTAATCACTACCCAAACTTTTCCATATGGGAAATAACCATTGTTCCCATCCACCCCAACAACCATCAAGATCTATCCAGGATAAGGCCCTTTCAAATGGCAGCCATCAACACTAATAACAGGTCTGCAACCTTCTAAAAATCCCTTCTTACAGCCAGCCAAGCACACATATATCCTTTGAAACACTATCTCACCCTTCACAATCTGAGTTTTAATCTTCACTGTACTACCCCTGTTTGCTGATTTCAATTGTTCTGCATAATCCCACAACCTAGCATATTGTTCTTTGAAAGTACCTTCATTTAAATCTCTGGCTAGCGTCTTTGCCCTATACACTTGAAGTTTTGTGACATTTATTTTGTAATCTTCCAACACATCTTCTTGAAATGATTTCAGATCAAACTCTGAGTTGCGCTTCAGCTTGTTTGCATATCTGTCACAAAGCCATTTTGATGTGGTATGCCTAAGCTTGTCCACTCTTCCACACTGATGTTCTAGGCTCAAAGTTTTTATTGCAAATGTCCCTTCCTATGTATTAATCTTTGATCCATAAACCTGGAAAGAACACCCTTTCACACATTTAGCCTGAACTCTTATGTCGTCATTTTTTTTTTATCAATTTCACTTCCCTACCATGTATAATTGCATTCTCCTTGATAGCCTCTATCAGTTGTTTTTTGTTTGCAAACTTCATTCCCAATCTAAACTTAGGAATTTTCAAATCCACATCTCTTCTATACTGCTTAAACTTTGGCAGTTTTTTCTTTTTTCCACCGTTACCCTCATCTTCAGTCTCACTTCCAGTGTCAAATTCTGATGTGTTAGCACCATCTAATGACACCTCTCCTGGAGCCCCATGAGTAGTCACCTCATCTACTACATTCTCTCCAACAATTGGCCTGGCCTCTGCCTCATTTTCATTGAACTCATAATCACTGTCTTTAATTTCTGAATATGCTTCTTCTTCTTCATTTGGCGCCTCTGCCCCTTCATTATCAATTATCACATGTGCCCCTACATCTTCATTTGGTAATTCTGCCCCTGCATCTTCATTTGGTACCTCTTTGACCGCATCTTCATTTGCCACTTTTGTCCCAACATTCTCAAAAGTCTCCTCATCTCCAACTTCAATATAAGCCACCTCCTTCCCTTGGTAATTCTGAGTCACATCCCCATCACAATTCTCTGCATCTGCATCATACTCATACTCTTGAATCTCACTGTAGTATAACACAACAACCTTATTGGATGGTATGTGACCAACCATTTCAACCATAGTAGCATCTGATGTAACAAGCTCAAGTCCACCCTCCGCATTTTTACACCTAATTTCCAAACGTTGCTCAACTTGAGAAATGTCAACATCATACCCAAGACCTCTCCCAATTTTCAGTAAATCTAAGAAGGACAGAAAATCCTCTATAATATTGTCCAAATAACAGACCTTACCCTTTTTATAAACCCCATTTACAAACCTGCCCCCATGATGTAATTTTAGAGTGCACATTCCATTGGTAGCTGCAAAATTGAAACAACAGTATGTTATTCTAAAGTCATTGAAACAACAGTATGTTATTCTAAAGTCATTGAAACAACAGTATGTTATTCCACTGAGTTGTGTGTGAACCAGACAACCAAGGGACCACATACGTTTAAAAAAGCCCCATATTCAACATATAGCAACCACAACCAAGGGACCACAGACATAAGCTTACACTTTGGAGTCAATGTAGCAAAAGCCACAACCAAACCTTACAAGAAAACGATTCCTTTACCCTTACTTTAAACATAAAACAACTAAAAAGCCGAACACAAACACAGAAAAAGGAATCTTTTACGAAACCACAGTTCCTGACAAGGACAACTCATCCATTTCATCTATTTCCAAACAAAAACAACATAAAATGCATTATAGAAGCCCTTACCGTATTTGGGAGTCTTTCCACCCGAACGGAATTCGAACTCCATTATCAGCAACTAGTGAATTTCCCAAAATCTCCAAAATCCCCAAAATCAAACCCTAAACCTAACTCCCAAATTCGAACTCCAAAACTAACACTGAAATTACACACTAACTTCACCAATTCAACAACTCGCACACTACTACAGCATCGACCAATTCTGGAACTCGCATTCACATCCCTTTCAATCGATGGTAATTGCGGGCGATGAGAGAAACATGGAGCAAAGTGAAGGTATTTTGATTTTGAACGAATAGATATTCTCAAAAAGTCACATATACCTTTCAAAACTCAGTCACGTGGCCATCGCGTGATCAAAACTCACGGAATCTGTAACGGATGGACCATTTAGGTACAAATTAAAAAGTTTAAGGACGTTTGAATTGAAAATTTTAGTTGGTGGACCAAAATGATAATCTAGCAATAATTGGGGGACCATTTAGGTCATTAACCATATGTTTTATAATGTTTTGGCCTATGCTAATCATGGGGTTTAAAAAACAATCAATGGTATTTTTGAACGGTCATATATAACCATTTCCACCTCCGCCCCGAACTCCACCCTAGTCTTCTTCGGTGACAACTCCACCTACGTGGACCTAGACCCGGGCCACTCCATCCAAGCCATCTACGAGCAAGACCAGTCTGTGTCTTCTCTGCGTTTTGGGCGAAACCCTTCATTGTGGGAGCTAGGGTTTTGGTGGCGGAGGCCTCCGTGGAATAATAGAATTCTACAATAATAGAATACTACTCTTGTGGAACTCTACCCTTTTTAACAAAATAGAAAATCAATTATATATTTAACTCATAAAGAAGGGCTTCTTCTTATAATAAAATCTACTCACCACCACCTGAACTTGAGTTCTCCTTTTGGTTTGTAACTTTAATTATTACCTGAAAAAGCTAATACAAGAAGTCTGAACTCGGATAAAGGGCAAATGAGATTAGATTAGAGTATTGCTTTTATTCCAAAAAAAAAAAAGTACTCTAAGAAAGTGAACAACCAGACAAACTATTACAAGCAGATAAAAGAATTCTACAATAATAGAATACTACTCTTGTGGAACTCTACCCTTTTTAACAAAATAGAAAATCAATTATATATTTTCCTCATAATGTCCAATCTTCCCAATCTTCTTCTCCAAAGTCTAACCAAATTAACTTGTTCAACATCATCTCTCTCTCTCTCTCTCTCTCTCTCTCTCTCTCTCTCTCTCTCTCTCTCTCAATAACCATATATAGCCACACACACAACGTCGACCAGCTCAATAACATTTTACACAACTTTCAGAATCCCCAAACCACCACCAAAAATGGCTTCAGAGTCAAGCAGCAGCAGTAGCAGCAGCCCCATCAAAACGGTGGTCGTTTTGGTGCAAGAGAACCGCTCCTTCGACCACATGCTGGGGTGGATGAAGTCGCTAAACCCAGAGATTAACGGCGTCATCGGATCCGAATCCAACCTCATTTCCACCTCCGACCCGAACTCCACCCAAGCCTTCTTCGGCGACAGCGCCGCCTACGTTGACCCAAACCCGGGCCACTCCATCCAAGCCATCTACGAGCAAGTGTTCGGCGAGCCGTGGACGGAGGCCTCCGCTTCCAAAAAGCTACCTCCGAAAATGAACGGTTTTGCCCAAAACGCTGAAAAGACACAGACTGGTCTTGCTGAGACGGTGATGAAAGGTTTTAAGCCGGAAAACGTCCCCGTTTCAGCGGAGCTGGTTAGGGAGTTTGCTGTATGTGACCGGTGGTTCGCTTCGATTCCTTCTTCGACGCAGCCGAACCGGCAGTTCGTGCACTCGGCGACGTCTCATGGGCTGACGAGCAACGACACGCAGAAGCTGGTCGAAGGGTTGCCTCAGAAGACAATATTTCAGTCGTTGGATGAAGAAGACTTATCTTTTGGGATTTACTTTCAGTCCTTTCCTTCCACCCTTCTCTACAGGTATTAAAAACAATTTAAATAGTTTATCATTTCACTTTAATTACTTTGGGAAGAACTTCAAGTATACTTTTCACTTTGGCACTTCTTGTCACATGCTTCTATTTATAATTTTTTTTTTTTTATCTCATGCATAGTATCACCCTTGTAGTATCACCCTTGGAAAATAATCTTGCCAGGGCATATTGCTAAGACTCACCTAAATTTAGATGGTTAGCCGCCATTAGTTTTTGTTCTATCTTGGCGAAACTAATTATATAGCCGTCATTAATACCTAATTATATTGCTTACTGTTTTTATTCAAATAATGGGTCAACTCTGATCTCTAATCTCAGCATGCCACGTGGATACCACACCTACCCAAATTGCTATTAAAAATCCCAAATTTGTCCTCCTTCCCCACCCAAATTGGCTTTGTTTCTTTTCTTCCTAACCTGCGGCTTATCTTGTCATTAGTTGGAAGCCATAACTAAGAATAATCAAATGGAAATTCAACGGTATTTGATGACACATTACCTTTTCTCTTGTCGTATTAGTTGTGGTGTCAACCTAGCTAATCAGTGCTTTGGTTGAGCTTGAAGTCATTAGCCTGTCCTCATGTGCAATGATAAAGGATAACATTTTTATGTACTTTAATATATATTCACAAAAGAAGTACATCCCACTCATGACAGGAACCTAAGAAAATTGAAGTACATCAAGAATTTCCATGCATTTGATCTGCAATTCAAGAAACATTGCGAGGAGGGAAAGTTACCAAACTATGTGGTTGTGGAGCAAAGGTTCTTTGATGTCTTATCATTTCCTGCGAATGATGATCACCCATCCCACGACGTCTCCGAAGGCCAGAAGTTTATAAAAGAAGTGTATGAAGCACTAAGAGCAAGCCCCCAATGGAATGAAATGTTGTTTGTGATAATATATGATGAGCATGGCGGTTTCTATGATCATGTTCCAACACCTGTTACGGATGTTCCTAGTCCGGATGATATCATTGGTCCCGAGCCATACAACTTTAAATTTGATCGTCTTGGTGTTCGGGTTCCAGCCATCTTAATATCTCCATGGATTGAAGGCGGAACAGGTAACTCAAACAATAAACTTAATTTCTTAGCAAAAAATAAAATATTTACTAATTATACCGTTGATTAGATAGGTCTTAGTTACTAAAATTATTACAAGTGGGAACAACTTGCACGAATTAATCTTTTGTAATAATTAAAAATGCAGTGTTGCATGGGCCTTCAGGGCCGTATCCCTCATCAGAGTTCGAGCACTCCTCAATCCCAGCAACAGTTAAGAAGATTTTCAATCTCAAAGAGTTCTTGACAAAGCGTGATGCTTGGGCGGGAACCTTTGAGGGTGTCCTGAGCAGAACTAGCCCAAGAACGGATTGTCCAGGTGAGCCTTGCCGACCATCTTACCTATGTGTACATAATAATATCTCTGTCGTGTCACTTGCTGCATTGTTTGCCAAAGGAACATTTTTCATCATTATATAAGTTGATTGTTGCAACCATTATAATATGCTTATATGATTGAAAAAGTGATTGATGGTGGGTAGCATGTCAATTACAATGCGTAGAGTGATTGATAGTGGGTAGCATGCATATTACATGAAAATGTTAGAGAGATCACATTTATGTACCCGTTTTCTAATAAAAGTGAGACTCATTGTATGGGTGTGCTCCACTTAAAGCGGTCGTATGCAATGTGATACATAAATATATAATCTTCATAGTATACTCCGCATGGTATAATAGAGCAAAGAATAAACGAGGAAGAAAACGTTTCGTATTGTCCGGAAAGTCAATATTGGATTATGGATATCATATACAGTGTTTGATTTGTTGATTAATTAATTGCAGTCACTTTGGGTGAACCTATGAAACTACGAGAGACTGCATCTATTGAGGGGGCCAAATTAAGTGATTTTCAAGAAGAACTAGTGCAATTGGCAGCGGCTTTGAACGGGGACCATAGAAAGGATATATATCCAAACAAATTGGTGGAGAACATATCTGTTGTAGAATCTCTCAAATATGTGGAAGCAGCATTTGAGAAATTTTCAGATGCATGTGAGAAAGCCAGGGAAAGTGGGGCAGATGAATCTGTGATTGTCGTCTGTGAAACCTCCCCTTCACCACCATCGCACAAGTCGTTTGCTCAAAGGTTATTTTCTTGTTTGGTTTGTGATAACTGATGACTCAATTTGTTTGGAGCACCTAAATTTCTTGGGTTTTACATCCCATTCATTCATGAAAAATCATTTGGACCAACAACGTTACCGGTCATTATTTTATTTTATTTTTTAAAATAAGTAATTTTTATTGATAAATAAAACGAAAGTACAAGACAACTATGTTGCGGGTCATTATTTGCTTTGTGTTGTAAATTGTCTTTTCATGTCTCTTCATTGGACTGTAAATTCCTAAAGAAAAAAACATTGTATATGGACGCGTTTCTTTTTAATTAAATAAAAAGTAAGTTGTTCCCTTTTCTTTTTATGTGATTAACAACTTTTTGTTTGCACTAATGATCGATTTATGTGTATTGATGGTAGTCCAAATCATAAAGTTCATTTGAATTTGGCTTTTTATGTTTTATAATGTTTTGGCCTATGCTAATCATGGTGTTTAAAAAACAATCAAAGGTATTTTTGAACGGTCACATATAACCATTCAAATCTACACAAATCATAGGAACAATGAACTTTGCTAATGAGATGAGACTTGTTTTTTCGTGCTTTTTATTTCTAGCCTCTCGTTCAAAATCAAATAGATGAAAGTTAGCTATTTTCTCCTCTTGTTTTTCTAATTCATTTTGTATCATGTGTATTTTATTTACACATAAATTTATGTATTTAATGTGTTTAAAACTTCTTTATTAACTTTACAAGCAAAGTATTAGGGGGTTTGAACCTGAGACCACTAGTCTGAAAACCAAGGTCATTTTCCATTGGGCTAGACCTCGTTGTCTCTAAAAATCCGTATTTTAAGATTCAAAAACTTGTTTGGTATGCAACTTAAAAGCTGTTACTAGAAAAAAATTTCTAACAAATAATTTTTTTTTTTTCTATTTTCAAGTATTTGGATATTTTTGAGCTATTTTTTTAGTTTGGATTTTTAAAACTTGACCTACCAAACATAATTTTTGGATTTTGGAGTCATATTCTGTTTTGAAGTTAAAAAATTTGGATTCAAATAGAATACCAAACATGACCTTAGTATTTTGCACTAAATACATAGATTTATGCGTAAGTAGAATACATGTGACACAAAATGAATGATAAAGGCAAAAAGGGAAAGGCATTTCTCAATAAGATATAGTTGTTAAACCATAATTTTTCTCTCTCAATCACATCTCAAAGATGATGGCCTACTATGAAATATGGTAAATATCATCATTGTCTATCATCGATTCTAGTACACAACCAGAGAATCCAAGTTTTAACAATGATGAAATTACTTAAAAAGCACCTAGTAACTAAAAAGGAAAGTGTGAAGAAGGCCAAGAGTTCAATGTAACTTCAAAATCATACGGGCTACGTGCTTTTGAAAAATTGTGTCATATGCAAATGAGGGGAATAAATATTTCCATGGACTTAGAGCATCTTTAAGAGAGTCTCCAAATTATAGCCAAATTCTAGCTAAAATAGCTAGAGAGCTATTATAGCAAACCACTTAAAAGGTGTTTTCTTCAGCAATGTTCTCTATTTTGGCTAATCTGAAATATTTTATTATTATTTTCTATTTCTCTTTCTCCCTCTTTCTCTTGCAAATCAAATATATTAAAAAGAAAAGTAGAAACCCAACCCCACCAACCTCCCAAATGTCTCTATCTCTCTTTCCTTTTTTTTTGAGTGCTGCTAAACTAACCCTAAAATTAACTGAGTACACCCTATTACCAAAGTATTTATTAAATTACTAATTTACTCTAAAATAAAATTACCAAAAAAGATATATTGAATTGTGAAACAAATGTAATTTTAATAAGTACACCCGACTCACCATATTCAACCCTAATGAAAGGCCTAAGCAAGAAAAATGCTTCTCTGATTCCAACCATTATGAGACTTGTTAGTGTTCAACAAAATTTCGGGTACTGAGGAAGCGAAAGAACCATGTTGGGAAATCTGTGGACAATGAAATAGGCTTGTGACCCCAGAAAAAGCGAGCAGACCCAAGGAAGTTTGGGTGAATTGGGGTTTGTCGATAGGGCTTTCTTCTAGGAGGGATGATTGTGAGCTTCCTAACGATTGTAACTCTACTAGTACATCCCTTTTTTTGGTCAAAATATCAGGGAAATTTATTAAAGATGAATAAGATCGTTTACATCACTAGCCAAATATTAAGGACCCATGCCGGACCTGCTTGATCCCATACATGATTACCACCCATCCTAGAAACATAGGCTGCCACCTCATGTGTAGCTCTATTGCAGTGTCGTGGAGTGAAAGAAAACACCACTTGGCTAATTTAACTGTTGAACTAAAACATGAATATCAACTAGGTAATGTGTGATAGAGTTTATTAGGGTGTATCAAGGGTATTTTGGTAGTAAAGTAGGGTGTATTTAGTTAATTTTATATTTTGATTAAAATATTAGGGTGTACTCAGTTAATTTTAGGGTTCGTTTAGCAGCACTTTTTTTTTTTCTCTCTCTCTCTCTCTTTCTCTTCAATTTGGCGTGCCTCCATTTCTCTCTCCTCCTTGCTAGATGTAGAGAGCCAAAAGTTAGTTCTCCAAAATAGAGAGTCAAGTAGGGAGTCTGTTGGAAGGAGGATTTTCCTTCTTTTTAGCCAAAGTAGCTAGGGATGAGAGGATAGGGAGTCTGCTGGAGATGCTCTCAGCTAGGGATACCAATGGTCATGTGACTCTTGTTTCCTCCATTGCTTGTGGGAACTGAAAAAGCACCTTTGTGTAATTGAAAAGGAAAATGTGAAGAAGGCCAAGAGTTCAATTCCTCTTTGTGTAACTTCAAAATCATAGAGGCTAGACACCTTTGAAAGAGAGTCATATACAAATGAGGGAAAAAATATTACCATGGACTTATCTAGTAGAGGTGTCAAATGGACAAGATCGGCCCGAACACACGAGCACGGCTTGCTTAAGTAAGGCCCGACACGGCACGACCTGTATCTTTGGGCAGTGTGAGGACGTGGTAATTAAGTCCAAATGGCCAGGCTGGCCCGCGGTTTTTCATGGGTTGTGTCGATCCAAAATCCAACAGGCCGGCCTATTTAAAGCCTATTTATTAAATTATACTTGTTTTTGAGAAAAATAATACATAATATTATTACATATATATCTTAAATTCAAGTCTATTTCTTTTCTCTAATAATATATATATATATATATATATATAATTAATGTTTCCTTTATATATAAAATAATGATTTATTTTTCAAATTTCAATTTTTAAAACCCAAACAATAATTTAGCAATTTTCTATTTAAATGTACTTTAAATAAATTTATTGGCCTTTTTTTTTTAACAAATAATAAATCTTATTCATATACACATAATTGTACAAAATATTTAAATGAAGTTGCAAAAAAAATGCAATACATATGTCAAATTTGGCGTAGGCCCATATCGGCCCATTTAGTGGCCTGACATGAGCACAGCCTGAGCCCATATGAGTTCAGGCCGTGGGCTCGGGCCAAGATTGATGATTTTCCTAAATAGGCGGGCCTGACACATCCCGTTTATTAAATGGGCTGACTCTAAACGAGTCGGGCCGCCCGGCATGGATAGCTAGTCTTTAAACACACTGGTGTGGTGTGAGCCAAAGAGCCTATGATGTCTAAATTAGTTTGACCATACAGAGAGAAAATAGGGTTTCTTAGATCAATGAATAGTTACTTTCTCCGAAAGGCGAAGGTTGGTTTATATTCAGCTTTTTGGAGGCTGGTTTATGGCCGTGAGAGGCTATGTATTCGACGTTTATTGCAGGAGTGACAATTCGTTGATGTGGACGTGTAAGGTATTTACCTAAAGTAGGTGAGCATGATATCCTCAAACACCCTGGCTGAGGAATTCCTTAAGCAGTAATGCCAACTGCCCATAATTAATGCACGATAAGATGTTTCACATCTTCTCTCGCCCTTGATCAAGTGCAATTTGGTCCTTGTGGTTGCCCTTTAATCTATGTGGCGTCGTACCATTAACGTGCGATTATTTTCTCCCACACAAACCACTACCAATATTGAACCTTCACCATTCTTTATTCTACTTCAAGAGGCCCTTCCGAAAACTATTCTTATACCTTGAAACCAAATTAATGTAATGGTACCTTTATGAACTAGCACAATCATTTTAGAAGAACAACGAAAATTTACACTACCGCTTAAATGCACATGCAAATTTGGCACAAGAGAATTGAACTCATTTTCGGAGAGGTGCAACAAGTGTTTTGGGTAGGAGAGATGGTTATTTATTTAATTAGTATTATGTTTTATATTGAAATTACATTCTCAAAATTTATTAATCTTTTAAACAATTTATTTTTTAAATCTATGCCACACACATTTGTCATCGACATAACTAAAAAGAAGTATCCCATAATTCTCATGTCATATAGTTTAAGTACTTTTTTGACCAAATATTGAGAGCATGGTATAATTGTGTTATATGACGTAAATCAAATAATAGTAAACTGTAATTAGCCCCTAAAATGAATCACGTGTTTTTTTTTTCTCCAATATCATCTCTCTCTCTCTCTCTCTCTCTAAATACCCATTATCACAACATCCAAAACTTAAGCTGAACAACATTTACACAATACTCATATTCCGACACCACCAAAACACCATTAATTGCCGCTGCCGCCGCCGCCACCACCACCAACAATGGTTACAGAGTCAAGCAGCAGCAGCAGCAGCAGCCCCATCAAAACGGTGGTCGTTTTGGTCCAAGAGAACCGCTCCTTCGACCACATGCTAGGGTGGATGAAGTCCCTAAACCCAGAGATCAACGGCGTCACCGGATCCGAATCCAACCCCATTTCCACCTCCGACCCGAACTCCACCCTAGTCTTCTTCGGCGACGACTCCGCCTACGTGGACCCGGACCCGGGCCACTCCATCCAAGCCGTCTACGAGCAAGTCTTCGGCGAGCCATGGACGGAGGCCTCCGCCACCAAAACCCTAGCTCCCACAATGAAGGGTTTCACCCAAAACGCAGAGAAGACACAGACTGGTCTTGCTGAGACGGTCATGAACGGTTTCAGGCCCGAAAACGTTGCCGTTCACAGGGAGCTGGTGAAGGAGTTTGCGGTGTGTGACCGGTGGTTTGCTTCGGTTCCGGCTGCAACGCAGCCGAACCGGCAGTACATCCACTCTGCAACGTCGCATGGGCTGACGGGGAATGA